TCCACGTTAGCTGCAATAGGAATATATTCTTTCTCAGTTACACGTAGCACTCCATGTGGTGGTATATAAACCACATTCTTTATCCATCTCATCGTGATGGACATTTAGGCTCCTTCCAGAGCATAATTTGCAGTCTAGTTGTGAGGAGTGCTATATAAACATCACTTGGGGGTACAATGCCCCCTAGGCATGTACTCTGTATCCCTTAGGTAAATTCAGCAGTGCTATTGTGTGTCAGTAGGGTCCCATGTTTAATTTTTTTGAGGAACCTCCACACTGTTTTCCAGAGTGGCTGCACCAATATGCATTCCCACAACAGTGCAATAGGGTTCCCGTTTCCTAAGTGATCTTATTTAAATTTTACATAATTTCCTTCCCCTTGCAGTGGCCCCTTATCTCTCTCAGAGTAAAAACCAAAATCCTTACAATGGCCAGAAGGCCATGCATGATCTGGTCTCTCATTGTCCGACTTCTTATCCTAATACTTTCTCTCTCACACTCTCTCTTACCTTCAAGCCTTTGTTCAAATCTTACCTCTTACCCAACTACCTTACGAGCCCCACCCTCAAAGGCTCTCAAATTTCTACTAGCCTGCTCATCTTTTCTCCTTTCCATGCATTTACTATCTTCTAATAGTAAATTGTTGTTTATTATCTGCCTCTCCCCATCCCTGCCACCACTATTTCTCTGTCTGTTTTGTTTGTTGATTTACTCAGTGCCTAGAACATAGTAAGTGCTCAATGTATTTATTGAATGAAATCAAGTAATTTGTCCAAGAATGTATTTTGTAAATTAATAGAAAGCACTTTCTCTGTGCAAGGCTTAGAGTGGACTGGATACAAAAGGAACAAGACAGACTTTCTACTCACATGTAGCTTATAATCTGGTAAGTGCATGAGTAACTCTGACATACATCTATGGCACTGAGTCTAGCAGGACTCGGGACTTGAGGAATGCCAAAAGAAAGAGCTACATGACTCAGGGAAAAAGCAAGTCTGCCTCTGACTGGAATAATTCTAAATGGCTTTGTGGATGGAGTATTTCAAGTGGACTTTGAGAGACAGGTGATAGTTTGATAAGTCAATACAGAGAAAGAGGGGTTAGAGGATCATAAATCACCTTGGAAGACATGAACTTAACAAAAAGGTGCTGAAAGGAGACTCATATATTAATAATTTAATAATTACATCAATAATACTTTATCATCTTACTAATACAGCATCATTTATTTGGACTGTAAGAGCTTTAGAGGAAAGGAGAGGTAATGATATTCAATTATCTCAAACATGTAGGAACAGGATGGCAGCTGGGACAATTTTCTGATAGCATTGAATGCTGAGCTAAGGAGTTAGCCTTAATTTATCTGATAAAGAATCATGTAGGATTTAGAGCAGGGCATGGGAGAAAGCAGGTGGCATGATCATACTGAAATTAAGTGAGGTCCCTGAGGGCAGCAATTTTGTCTTATTAATCTTTCCATCGTCAGTACCCACCATAGCACCTGGCATATTAATAGGTAGTCAAAAAATATTAGTTTATATTTCAACCAATGATTAAGGAGATGGAAAAAAAAAAAAAAAAAAAAAAAAAAAAAAAAACCTGTCCAGTGAACAAGTCACATTCTGGAAGCTGTAGGGAGGGCGGATTGAAGTAGGTTAGAATTAAGAAGGATAATAAAGCACTGATTTCAGGGTCCCTTCAATGAAAGGAAGGGATGGGCATTAGTGACTCCGTGTTGCAAGAACATGAGACCAACAGGTCTCATCACACGTGAGGGCTAAAAGTGGCTGCCAGATGAGTTCTCCCCCAACACAGCTCCAATCTACTCAACTCATAGCGTTCCCACTACAAGAGTTTTCGCAGTGAAACTAAATTTAAAGGTAAACATGAAGATTCCAATGTGGGGCTAGAAACTGACATCAAAATAAAATCATCAACCATAGACCTTAAAGCAGCAACTATAGGTAACTTGTGGAAAATTAAGCATAACTGTAGGCCTTCATCAGTTTATAAATGTCAGGTTTCTGAATGCTTGGATATGGCCACACAGAGGAAATTCTTGGGAGGCAGCAAGGGGGTGTGTGCAAAGCTTCAGCCTTGAGATCCGGCAGGCCTGGGTTTAAGGCCTTCTTCAACCACTCGCTAGCTGTGCAGCCCTTCAGAGAAACCTGAGATTTTAGTATCTGTGAGTTAATGATAAAAACAGTAGAAAGTTATGTAAGAATTGAATGAGATCATATAAACCAGTACATGCTGTACTAGCAGGTACACAGTAGGTGCTTCATAAATGTTAGTCCCCCCCCCCCTTTTTCTTATTGTCTGGAATCCACAGAAGTACTCCTACTTCTAACACAGTTCTGGCCAAAATATACTTTTATTTATAACGACTGTTCCACGAAAAGTTGTGACTGTAATCATGTATTCTATTGTCTTTTATTCTGTGCCAGCCTCCAGGCTCACTCAGTTCCCTTCCACTTCCCCGGTGCTCATCTCTAAATATGGTCTCACAAGCTAATTTCTCAAGTATCCTTTTATCCTGTCTTCAGGAAAATTATTAATGAAGATGTAAAAATCAGGCAGGCATGAATAACAATGCTTAAGGCAATCCTCCAGACTCTCTTTTTTCCACTCAACAGGGATAAGGTGTCATTTATCATCAGGTCTTGTTACAGTTTTCTGGCCCCTTGAAAAACTCACATGAGGGCACTCATGGCCACATCTACAAGAATTAGTCTTGCAAGTGAGTGCTGATGAGTGACTGAACTAAATGTCACAGCAGTATAGAACATCGATGACATCACACTAACCTATCACTCTTTGCTCTCATAAATCTTTACAGTCAAAACAAATTAGTCTGGCACGTGATTTATAATAAACATTCTCTTGTGTTGTATGTGGCTCATGCCCAAAAGGAGATAATAGACCAGTTGATAAAAGGGACAAAATCTCATCACTGCTTCAGACATAGTCAAGTGGTGAATAAATAGTAACTTCTTGGCAAGGAGAGAAACAAAGAGTAATAGAACAGCCTATACAGAGGAGCTGATGATACAAGACTCTGCCTCATGAAGCTCATTCTACAAAGTCCTGGAGAGAAATCACTGTCTGGCATTAGAACCAAGAACAGTTGACGTTTTTTTGAACTTGCTTTCTCCTAATGGACCCTAGACTGTATCACTCATGATGGTTCTCTGTTCTCATTTGCTGAAGAAGTTGAGCATTGTGTGGGTGACTCAGGTATAGTGGGGGGTGGGCATGATAATGGAATGTTTCCCCATCTGTCTCCTGGCTCCATTTAGTCTCCTTGCTTCTTCCCTCTCACTTTTTTTTTTTTTTTTTTTTTTTGAGTGTGGCAAAATTAACATAATACAAGTTCACCATCTTCACCATTTTTTAATATTTATTTATTTATTTATTTATTTATTTATTTAGAGAGTGAGAGGTAGGGAGGGACAGGGAGAAGGGGGAAGAGAACCCCAAGAAGTCTCTGTGCTGTCCACGAAGAGCCCATGCAGGGCTTGATCCCATGAACCATGAGATCGTGACCTGAGCCAAAATCAAGAGTCAGGTGCTTCATCAACCGAGCCACCCAGGCGGCCCACCATTTCTAAGTGTACAGTTCAATGGCATTAAGTGCATTGCCACCCTCATCTCTAGAATTCTTTTCATCTTGCAAAACTCTAGAATTCTTTTCATCTTGCAAAACTGAAACTCTGTACCCATTACATAATAACTCCCTATTACCCCAGCTCCTGGCTATCTTCTGTCTTTATGAATTTGACTGAGTACCTCAGATAGGCAAAATCATGCAATACCTCCTCATTTTTAATGAATCAATCTTCCTGTGTTTTGTGTAAGTTTATAACCCCATATGAAAAAAATGGAGAATGAATAAATAAATAAGAAAATAGAGCAAAAATATTTCCTAGGGACTAGAGGGGCTCTATTCTATTAGAATAAAGCACAATGGATTGTAAGAAATAGTCATCATTTAACCAGCTAGCTAATGTGTACACAGCAGCATATGTAAGATAACAATAAAGTCAGAAGAGAGATGGAACATAGTAGAGGTTCCCACAAGGGAAGAAATATCAAGATAATTGAAGAAGGAAGTAATTGTGGATTCAAACTCAGACCTAATGGGCTACAGGCCAATATACTGGTCACGAAGATTATTGATAGTACTGCTTCCATGGCAGTGGTTTTCAAACTTGAGTTAACATACAAATTACTTACCACAAACCTACCAAATCAAAACTGAATTGACCAGGCCTCAGAAATCTGAGTATGTCACCAGCTTCCGAGGTGGTTCAGACACAGAAGGTTCTTATCAGTATTAAGAAACAATGGTCAGGGGGCACCTGGGTGGCTCAGTCGGTTACATGTCTGACTCTTGATTTCAGCTCAGGTCACAATCTCATGCTTCGTGAGTTCGAGCCCCACATCAGGCTCTGTGCTGACAGCACGGAGCTTGCCTTGGGTTCTCTCTCTCTCTCTCTCTCTCTCTCTGCCCTTCCTCCCCTCTCTCTCTCAAAATAAATAAATAATTTTTAAAAAAGAAAGAAACGATGGTCAGTGCAGATCAGAGTAGAGGTTGTGGGACCTGCCTCTGTTTAGCTGAGTAGTATAATCTTGGATTGTTATATATATAGCCACGTGGGCTCCATTACTACCTATTTTTACCTGCTTCGCTTTTTTTCTTCTACATTGAGTGCTGCCTGACTGAGCTACCCAAAATGGGGGCATTGGCAAGAGAGAATGACACCAGAAATAGACTCTCATTCAGTCCTCCAACGGAGAGTCACAAGGGTCAGCCCTGCCGCTATCCCACCATCATGATAGGCCTTGTGGTGGTTTTCTTTCATGTTTCTTTTCTCGTCTGCCTCTCTGTCAGCAAGTATCAACTGGCTGAAATGAAAACACTCGGTGAAACTGTTCAGTGTGAAAGATCAGAATCTGACTTCTCTCTCATTTATAGCTTTAATTTTCTTTCTTTCTAGAATATGTCTGTGCTGGAGAATCACCACTGGCGATCTACAATAGGCATGCTTCGAGAATCAAGGCTTCTTGCTCACTTGCCAAAGGAAATGACGTAAGTGGCGTAGAGATGAAACATACTGATGTCCACACGTTGGAGATAAGCTGCTTTCTCTAGGGCATGCTTGAGACCCCAGGGCTGATGGCAGGGAGCCAGCCGGCTGTGCTTCCTGCCTGCGCTTGGTTGTCGATCAGAGGAGACTCAGTGTCAGTTACAGCAGCCCAGAATCCACATCTCTCCCTGAGCTTTGAACGGGCCTTGGATAGTCTATGACCTGACATCAGGAAAAAGGATAATAAAAAAAGCTCTCAGCTTTCACACTCTTCAGCATCAATGCTCCACTTTGTCAAATCCCTCCCTGTCTGTTATGTTAGCAAAATTGTCCTCCTATAAAGATCCAAATAATAAATATTTATCAAGCAGGAACACAGGAGAGCTCAAGCTAGATTTAACACTAGTTCAATCAAGTTTGTTTTGTAATTGCCAATCTTAGCAAAAATAGAAGTCAGAAATTCTGTCCTGAAATGTCTTTTGTTAAGTAACTGAATTGGCCGCAGCCATTGTTTTGGCCATTAATTTACCTATGTCTGTTGCATTTTAAACAGAAGGGGAAATACTAGTTTCCTGGTCCACTGTTTGTTAGCCCAGGTATTTAGGCCAAGCCCTACTAAATCCAAAGCCATTGCCTCATTTTCCACATGGTCCCTAATTAGCTGCTGTAACATCTTCCAAGGTCACCACTAATTCTGATCTGTTAAATTAAATGCACAAGGGCCCAAGAGAGTCAAAAGAGTAGATAGATCCCTGCACCCTTCTTTCTGAAGAATTGCGAAGGGTGCATAAGTTAAAGTCAAGTGCCAAGTTGCGTCTATATGCAAGTTGCGTCCAAGTATGCTCTGGCTCGTGCTTATTCCCGGCCCTGTGATACTATCTGGTGCTGTTCCCTAGCACCCAGAGGAATGTGGAATTTGCAGGAAGAACTTCAGTTCTGATAGCTTTTTCCCTCCTGGGATGAAATAAAACCAATCTTCATGCACGGAATAGAATCCCGTGTTTTTTGCTATATTCCTTGCAAAGATCAAAAGAATTAAATGCAAAAGAACTAAAAACTTGGGGTGCCTGGGAGGTGCAGTCAGTTGAGCATCCAACTCTTTATCTCAGCTCAGGTGATGCTCTCACAGTCCCTGAGTTGGAGCCCTGCATCAGACTTGGGGTTCTGTCTCTCCTTCCCTCTGCCCCTCCCTTGCTTGTGCTCACTCTCTCTGTCTCACTCTTCCTCTCTCTGTCTCTCAAAAATAAAATAAAATAAGAACTGAAAACTTGAGTAAGAAATCAAGTAAGAAAGAGAAGAAAGGAGGAGGAGGTAAGTGTCAGGGGCAGCTAAAGAAAGAAGAGAAGGGAAAGAAAGAGAGAGGGCGGACAAGGAAGAACAAAACTGAAGGAGAAAAGGAGGAAGAACGCAGGACCAGACTTGTTTCTGTAATACCCAACACTAATCCTGCTGGTTGCTCAGTTATACTCATTTCCTGAGATCCTCCTACGCATCCCTATGGATTGCAAATAAAATACCATATTTTTTGGGGGGATTTATGGGATGCAGTGTTATAAATCACTTTTGTAGGAAGAATAATTGTGATGCAAGAGTCTGAAAAGGGATGTGGTGGGAAGTACAGTGGCCAGTGCTTACATGCAGTTGCCTGTTTGTTCATGGTCTCAACCTGGCTGGTGATTACAGACATTTACTTTCTACCTATTCATTAAACTCTGTGTGCTCAATGCACTCTACAAAGTAAAAGGATGTAAAGTATGACCCATATGCCCAAAACATTGGCGGGAGTGGGGGGGGGCAGAGGAGTAAAGAACGGGTTCAAACTTAAGCGACATCAACTTAATATAAACTGCTATATGCAGAAGGTGTTATATACAAACCTAAATATACTTAATTTTTAAAGATTAATTTTTAAAATTGCTATGGATCTTGTCTTCCATTGATTACTTTCTATGTGTGAGGTAAAGTTTTAACTCGCTTATGTTTCCAAAATGTCTCATTTCCCTTACATACCATTTGTCGACTAACATATTGCTTGCCCGTTGGTTTTTAAGTGTCTTAACTACCTATTATTCTTTCTGAAGTTCCAGTAACTTTCTCCAGTCTGTTTTGTTCAATTGATGGATCTTTCCATACCATGTAGTATCAGCCATTATTATTGTCTTCCTTATTATTACTAATTATCATGCCCTTTCCCTCTCCATGCAAATCTGAATGTTTGAGCTGGCTTCAGCTCTTTAAAAGCACAACCTAAACTTCTGTGATTCTGTCAGTCTTTTTGTGTCCTACTTAAGGCATGCATTCAGTTTTTAGACGCACAGTTACCATGGCAACGTGTAAACTACCACAACTTTGTTCACTCGCGATTTCAATCACTCTCTACAGTTACTAGCATAGCTCCTGACCAAAGACAGAAGTGGCGGTGGAGGACAGACTGGCCCTTGGGCTCGGAGGGACTGGACTCTGAGTAACAAACAGAATCAAAGGCAGAAATGAGATTCTAAACCACCTGATGGTGACAGAATCAATCACCTACCTCAAAAGTATTTGCTTCGTGTGTGTGTTTTCTCTTTCCCTCTTGTGGATGCAGACAGGATATTGAACAGCAGCTGGGCTCCTTGATCTTGGCAACAGACATCAATAGGCAGAATGAATTTTTGACCAGATTGAAAGCTCACCTCCACAATGAAGATTTAAGACTGGAGGATGTACACGACAGGCACTTTATGCTTCAGGTAAACAACAACAACAACAACAATAAAGGCCCTTATCCTTGCTGAGTAAAAGCACTTGGGGACATGATCGATAATTTTAGCACATGTGAGATGGAGTATCCCCCAGGGTAGAAGTTAGAGCGGTGACCTACTTTATTGAAAGCTCCGAGACACGTGAAATTTTTAAGCGGTTTCCAAGCAAGCAAAATCTGGGTTTCATGTCAGTAAGTTGATAATATCTCAACTTTTCCTTATCTGGTAACTGGTGCCCCACAAAGTAGCCCTGCTGGGGAATTGTATGTAGTAAGAATCTACAACATTTTGTGGCTTGATGTAAAATTGACCACGGTCATACCTGCGAGATTCAGAAATACTGTTTCTGTAACACAAAGATATATTATGTTAACTATGGTACAAACAAAAACTGAAAAACGAGTAGCTGTTCCTTCATATAAAACCTATTTAATCAAACCCTGCTTTACTTCCTGTTACTAGCTAAACTCATATTCTCACAAACATGTTTACCTAGTCTTGCCATTTTTAGACACCAATAAATAAACTATGTTAAGGTTAATTGAATGAACCGAATCGTATCAGGCCCAGTGCTTTCGGCTTCTTTCCACGGCAAGAAGCCATTTGTGGCAGGAGAAGAAGAGGACAAACGGACCTCAGAACTGGAAGTCTGACCTGGTGTCCAAACCACAGCCATTTTCTTGATCTTCCATTTTCTCTCGGCTTCCTTCTTTCCTCTTGGCACAAAAGACTGGATGGAAGGACCCTGGATTCACGTACATAGACCAACTTTGACCAGGGAAACTGAACCGCACCTTGCAGACTGAACAGAATAGTGTTTTCTTGTCCCATGCTTTCATGATGCCCCCTGCAGCTGTCCAAAGTGCCCCATCCCTCCCAGGAAATACCTCCCTCCCAGCTGTAGAACTACGTCTCCCTCCTTCTTTTTTTCCAAACTAGTCTTTCTAGTCCCTGAGTGTCACAAGGATCAACCAGGTATCTGGTTTTCCTGACTCCAGCCAAGTTGGGAGTTGCTGAAAGATTTGGCCTGAACATTTGCATTTCAAAGGGAAAGCTTGCTGACGCAAATGAATTGTAAATGAATTCCCAAAGGGCAGAACCTGGAGGACGCTTCTACCCCTTTCCTACTCCAGTGGTTACTGGCTTCCCCATTAACCGGGAAATAAAGGAACAATCAAATTTGTAAGTTAATATGATTGGGGCTTTCCCAGATGCCAGTGATTCTGTGATGCCAAGGAACTAGATCAAAACAAATAGGCACTGCTGGTGGGCAGGGCACGCTACCAGGAGCCCATCTCGGTGGTTGGTGAGGAAGGGTGAGAATCTACTTTTCTGGGAATTCATGGTAACCCTCTTAGGGTCAGCATTATTGACAAAAGCTGGCCTCCCCGATCCAGACCGGGGTGCGGTAAGCTTTGAGTTAGCTTTGCAAACAACACACTCCAAGGTTTGATAGGACTTAGCTCCCTGGACTGCAGTATGAGCTTGCTTACTCACAGACACGGGCACAGGAGGGCAAATAAATTGAAGCGATACATGGAGTCTGTCAATGTGGCCACTGTGAGAATGAGGCCCAAATGATCTCACTTGAGCCTGACCGGGCCCCTGCAGCTTCCTTGCCCATGAAGGGTGGGGCAGTAGAAGGAGCCAGGCCATGGCTTTCCTTGGCCTACTCACCCCAAGCCTCCTCCAGGAAGCTCCGTGTCCTTGGACGGTGGCTCTTCTCTCCTTCTCATAGCTATAAAGTGGGAATTCTGAATGAAGGTTTTGTGCAGCGGTGAGTAAGTGCTGTTTCCTGAAGAGGCACTCTGTAAACACGGGCTTGGTACCTGAGGCACACTGGCGGGTCGGACAGCCCCTTGGGCTTCGGATACATTTGCTGCTGAAGGATCATCCTCTGACCATCTCTCCCTGCCCTGTCATTTCTCAGATCGCCTTGAAGTGTGCTGACATTTGCAATCCTTGTAGAATTTGGGAGATGAGCAAGCAATGGAGTGAAAGGGTCTGTGAAGAATTCTACAGGCAAGGTTAGTACTGATCTGACAGCTGAGTTTTCAGTGCCCCTCTTCCTTTTAGGCATTCATCCTAATAAAACAGGAAATGGCTAATCTATCATGACATTTGTTCTTTCATCAACTCTTATTATCGTAACCTTTCTCTTCCACTCTCTTGCAAACCATCCAGACCTTTTTTGGAAATAACTTAAAAATAAATAACAAATGTCTTACTATGTGCAAACAGGTAGTAAAGAGAGGCGATAAAAATGAGCAAAAGTGGGAGATAAATGTGCGTGTGTGTGTATGTGTGTAATTTTTTAATGACTTTCCTCTGTGGATATAAGAATGTAAGGGACAGCTTGATTTTTACTCTGACCTTCATTTTAATGAGTTTAGCACAGCCTAAAGGCTAAATGCCATTTGGGGTCAATGTTTTCCACTCTGACGGGACTCAGACTCTGTCTCTAGTCCTTCCCCTGTCTTTCTTAAATAAAGTTAATGAAACAGAGCACAGCTGACCAAGAATTGAACTCATCCTCTCAAACATATTCAGCGAGAAGAGAAATGGCCCCGAGTTAGAGTATAAGTTTTAAGACATTAACCTCATTCAGAAATAAGGCAATGAATTAGCCAACAGGATCTTGACACTGGGTGGGAGGGATATCGGCCTTTAAACCCAGCCTTATTTCTTCAGACCTGGTTTTAGTGCTCAGGATGTTTGTTCAGGTACAGCAGTGCCCTGATGTTAGTGACAGGATCGGGTTTGAGAGGCTGAGAACAAATGAAGCCTGAAGTGTCCCACATACTAGCTCCGTGGGGAGGTCAAGTAGCAACGGTGAGCCTTTTGGAGAAGCTTCCATCAAAAGATGTGTCAGTGATATTGAGATGGTCCCAAAGACACAAGACAAAGCAAAAGGGATTGGGTTCATATGGGGCCAGAAGGCTCTGGCCACTGTCTCTTTCACTCAGAGAAAAAGCGCTCGTGAAGTGCCCACAACCCTGTGTAATTTCATTTCAATTGAGTGTGAGTGGTTAGAAGTCAAAAGATCAGTTCTAGTTGCCTATGATATAAAATCTCCTCTGAGAGAAAACAAAGGAAATATGATGAAATTGGAGCAGGAGGTTTAGATTAGATAAGTATTTTCTTTATGATATAGAAAATACTGAAATGGCAACATGAGAGAAGGGCTAAGATCTTCATGTTTGGAAATCAAACAATGGGACAGGAAAGAGATTCTACTGTGTCCCTTTGGTTTTGACTCAGCCATGCAGTTGGCACTGTGGCAGTTTAACCCTTTCATTTGCTTATTTTGCATCCTATTTGGATTATAAGCAACTTGAGAAACAGGCCATGTCACTTGTGCCAAAAAGAAGGCCTATGGAATGGGTGTATTGAAGTTACTAACTACGTGGTGAAGTTACTAACTACGTGGATCAAAGGAAGGTAATCCATAAGATCTCACCAAAACCAGGTGTTGTCTAATAATATATGCACGTGCAGCATTGTAAGATGGAACAACCTAGAACATTTGTAACTCTAACCACGAAAGGTGAGCTACCATGCACTTTGCTCTGGCATGTCAGGCAGAGAAAGGAATACAGAGAGGGTATGTCGGGTCCTTCTTATTTAATAGCATTATGGTTGAGCAGAAGTTCTGTCTGTTTAGAAAGAGAAAGACCAGACTCTCTGGTCATCCAAACTGCCTATCCTCCATACTGAATTAATTTTTGTAATCCTATAAGCATGATTCACACCATTTTGATTAATCTGATTCTGGCTCTCAGTTTAGGATTTGGGTTTCCACAGATTGCTCATAGTCTTGGCCAAAGTATCTTTAATGGTTCTTGATGTTGAGCAAAGGAAAACCTTTAAAATCAAGGTTGAGGAGATAGCAGAAAAGAAGATGAAATCCCATGAATTAGGAAAACAGCATTAAATTCTGAGAGCAGAGATTAGGATTCTATACATCATTCCACCCCCTCCTCTCAATGTTTCAAGGAAGTGGAATCTCTGTCCTTTTGTAGCTATGAATTGATATCGTCTCAATCCACCAAGATTCCCAGAAGTTTGTATTGAATATCTGCTTCCAGCCTTGTGTAAACCTTAGCAAAACTGTTACTTTCCCTCTCTACAAAGCCCCATTGAGGCAGTCACGAAGGACACAAGAATTATAGTTAATGTTTAATAACCTCGAAAAACTAGGAAGTAAATGTCCTTAAAGAGCGAAGTTATGCAATTTCCCCTTTGTATTCTCTACATTGATGAACAAAGAATCTAAAATACACAGTGCTTTATAAGTACATGTTGAATAAGTTAATGAATAAATGATCTAATTGGGTGATCTCTAATGGTGGAGGTCACGGGAGAAGATCTGGTTCTCAGGAAGGCGGTATCTGAACTGGGTACTGAAGGATGCGTAGGGTCCTGTATTTTCCAACAGGGTACTCATGAAGCACTTGTGATTAGAAAAATTTAAATTAATTAAACAATTAAATTCAAATTTTAGTTCTTAGTTTTATTGATCAAATTGCAAAAAAGTTACTGTAGTGGGCAGTGCAGAGAACATTTCTGTCATTATAGAAAGTCCTTTTGGGCACTGCTGGTCTACATAAGGAGGGGTGGAAATGGACAAAGGCACTGAAAAGGGGACCTGCTTCACAGAACAACTTGGATCCACAGAAAATGAGAATGTGAGGATTTGTGGAGGCCCCTGTACACCAGGGGCCAAAAATGAGTTATTGATAAGTCAGACTGGAGTCAGGCAGAGTATAAGTAGGGAAAAAAGATACTCCAAGAAAGGAATAAACAGGATTTGACGCCTCAATGTGGAGAGAGAATGGAAGGGAGAAATCAAAGAAGATTCCTCTAAAATGTCAAGCTTGACTGAAAAATCATAATTAACAGAATTATGGAGGAAAGGAGTAGAACCCATTTTAATATTAAATGGCATCCTGCTCTGTCCTCAAAAGACTATTATCATCTCACTTCCCTGAATTCCTCAGGTTAAGCCATGTGATTTCCTCACATCAGTCTTGAGAATAACCAGGCCTCAGGGGACCATGGGAGGCATGGCTACAATCTTAGAACAAGTGACAAATGTGTGGCATCTTTTAAGTTCTAGCTCAACGGTTAAGTGCAGACACATTGGGTGCAGACTTCGTAGGTTGAAATCCCCCTTTTACTAGCAATATGACTTGAGTGAAAATACTTCCTTTCATCTCCATTTCCTCACCTGTAAAGTGGGTATTATAATGAAGTTGTAATGAGGATTAAATTAATTAACATATGTAAAATGCTTAGCATAGTGCCTGGCACATAGTACACATGATATAAATGTTACATTTATATTGCCTGTGGTTTAGAGGTGTACATTCACAGCTGTGAACTCAGCTAATGTTTCTGAGGACTAGCTTCTCTACTGATTAACCAGACTGTTTTCCCAATGCAAAAATTACCCATAATTTTTCATCCCCTGCAGGACTGATAAGGTATTCTGATAAAGCTCTACATGGTACATTTCTTCTTTGGTCTTCTAGCTGACAAAGGCATTAAAAAGAAATATTTGTCTGATTTTTATACTTTTTTAAAGCTTAGTTCCATCAGGTGAAACTAAATCAGAATAAAAGATAAGAAACTTTTAAGAAATGAAACAGAGGAACATAGGGGAAGGAAAGGAAAAACAAGATAAGATAAAAGCAGAGAGGGAGACAAACCATAAGAGACTCTTAAATATAGAGAACAAACTGAGGGTTGCTGGAGGGGAGGCGGAAGAGGGCATGGGCTGAATGGGTGATGGGCATTAAGGAGGGCACTTGTTGGGATGAGCACTGGTGTTGTATGTAAGTGATGAATAACTAAAATCTACTCCTGGGGTACCTGGGTGGCTCAGTAAGTTAAGCGTTGGACTTCAGTTCAGGTCATGATCTCACATTTCATGAGTTCGAGTCACATCAGACTCTCTGCTGACACCTCAGATCCTGGAGCCTACTTCAGATTCTGTCTCCCACTCTCTCTGCTTCTCCCCCGCTCAACTCTGTCTCTCTCTGTCTCTCTCTCAAAAATAAACATTAAAATTTTTTTTTTAAATAACTAAAAATAAAATCGACTCTTGAAACCAACACTACCCTATATTTTAACTAACATGAATTTAAATTTTAAAAAAAAATCTTTATTTCTGATTAACTTTGTAGCTACAGACCAGGATGTTCCTCAAATGAGATTTTCTAGTCCCTCTTCTCTGTCTCCTACCTACTTACTATTCCTGGTTGTTCAGAGGAAATCAGACTAGGGTCAGGCAGAGTGAAAGGCAGGGGCAGCATAAAATCTTAACGTGTTACTTAAAGCCAGAACTTCCATTTCATGTAGGAAATTGCTCATTACTTGTATCCTTGTTTTTGTATATCTTGGTCAAAGTTTATTCCAGTCCCAGAGCGTACCTGTTTACAAGGAACCTACTGTGAATGGTCATTGACGCTCTGATATTTTAACTTTTCATGGAAACTACGAGAGCAAGGCAGGGCAAGTGGGGGCGGGGGGGGGGGGGGGGGGGGGGGGGGGGGGGGCAGTTCCTGATGAGAACAAAGCAGTGAATGGGAATTCTCAGAATAACTTCTTTGAACTAGAGGGTTAAAAGTAGCAACTCATTTTTTTTACAAATTCTAGATTACCAATATTTCTTCTTTCTTCTTAGGTGACCTTGAACAGAAATTTGAACTGGAAATCAGTCCACTATGTAATCAACAGAAAGATTCAATTCCTAGTATACAAATTGGTGAGTTGAATTCAGTTTTAATTTTAAACAAATACTTTTGGCCTCTCTGCCAAGTCACAAAGAAAAGAAGATCTACCCACAGCTTTTGAAAGATCCAAAGTGGAGGTTTAATGAAGAGCCGAATCCAAATAAACACTCTAATCATGACTAATCTACTAGGTAATTACCAATGGAAAAATTGTGAAAAATAGGGTAACGGCCTTGTTATAGACTCTTAACTAGCCTGTATTAACTTTGTAGTTCAAACTCAAATCAAAACCAAATAGCGTAGAAGGAAACTAATAAGCATCATCTATTGGCTGCTGAAGAGCAGGTTAGTTCACACTCTCTCTGGGACTTGAAGAGTAGAAAGTCGGCAGGATCAACCTTTAGGACCCTTCCAGTCTGGCTCACTACCCTTCACCCCCTTTGCAATCCCAAGAGCCCATGCTCTGTGAGCTACGCCATCCCTTGTGGCCCCGGGTCCCATGCTTCTTGACTCCCCACTTCCAAAACGTATTTTCAGTCTTATTCTCAAGTGTCTATTGCAGTAAACTGTTAAATTGTGATGCTAATGCATCTAAAATAATCATTACTGTAAGTTATGCATCAGATCATTACACAAGTCAAACTGTGGAAATTTTAGGCACATAGGAAATATTTTTGATCCAGTAAGAATTTCTATCAGCTCTTAAAGCTCTCCACCAATTCCACCTACCTTCAAAGCAGATCTTTTCCTGGAAGTTCCTTCCATTTAAAACCAAACTCAGCACTTTAAATTTTACCCATAAACTACAGCCCTCACATGCACGAGTCCTTGTTTTTCGCCAGTTCCCACAGACCTCAGAGAACTTAATGTATTCACAGTGCTGCAGACCTCTGCAAGGCTTGAGGCTTAAAGCCTCTACTTGGAAGGGAATGGGGCATCAGAAAAAACAAGCTGAAAATTAAGAAAGCCAGAGCAAGTTAGTCAAGTAATGATATGCCTATAATCACTAAGAGTCAAATCTAATCCACGACAGAGTCATAAAGTCATCTTCAGGAAATAGAAACCGAATTAATCTGGTTACAAAGATTTGAATGACATATGCAAATATTAAAATAGATATGTTGAAATTTTGGGATTATTGGTGAGCCATTTTTTTGTCCAAATTTCCCTTAGTATTGTCATGGTGTTTTTACAATTAAATTGATTCTTCCACCCAAAAAAGGAAAGGGTGGGAACATTATAAAAAACAAAACCCAGGAAGAATCCAGGGTGATAACATAGCTACAGAGTTGCTGGGGCAGTGGGGGAGGGGATCAGCATCAACAGAAATGCAGCCTTGGTCCCCTTGGATCAGATAGTCTCCTCCGGTTGCTTTAATTATGGAGGTTTTGCAGATGTGATCTGAAAGGAGCAGACCCTGTCCAAAATCCTAACCCCACAGCCTCGTTTGTTAAGCTCTGGCTAGAAAGAAATTTGCCAGGCTCCTGTTAAAGACATTTTGTGAAAAGCGTTCACATTGTTAAGCACACAACCTGGATTTGCAAGACAGACCTGATTTTAGAGACTCTACCCTGTTGTTGTCATGAGAACACACTTATTTTGTCAGATCCTATGTCCTGGTTTTCAGCACAAGAAAATGTGGTTACCATAGATACCTGTTTTTAAAATGGGGTGGGGATTGGCTGAATAGGAAAATCTCCTGGATGCTACATTAGCACACCAATAATAAAGAGAAAGAGAAGGTAATTATAAAACAACCCTTCCTGCGTAAATCTTTCTCTGTCTCCGTTCCACACCTCCCAGCTCTGTAGGGTCAGTGTTGGGAGGTGTGGTGTGAAGGGATAGACGAGGCTAAACTGGAAAAATCCAAATAGATAGACAGAGCCTAATGGGAGCTCTAGGCTTCAGCACCCCCCCCCCTCCAAGGATTTGCCAGCAGGTCCTAAGTAATGCAGCTCTTTCCTCTGTCCTGATTCTCCCTGGGACTGAAACTGTCCCCTCCACACTGAGAATCTCCTGAGTGCCATCTCAGGTTTAGATCTGATTTTCTGTTTAAGTAATTCATATTAACCCAAGAGGAAGTGGGGTTAAAAATCTCTTTCCCTCTCTCCATCAAATTCTGCGTTTTAAAAAGAAGATATTAAATCATATGAATCTCTAATTGGTGAAATCTATAGAAGGAGGAAGAGAAAGAGGCTTGCCTTCAATCCCTATTTACTCTGAGGCCATCATTTCTAGCTTCCCCCAATTCCAACCCACCAGGAGGACAAAATCCAGGCAAAGTCAGCCCATCACTTGCATAGAAGAGAAAGGTTAGCACAATGCGCTGGGAACGGGTAGAACAGGTTCCCAAATCTAATCGTGCAGAAGCCATCTTTCATTTGGAAAACTGCCCCCTGGTGCCTATTCAGGCTTCAAAATGGCTTTCCTATCTACTAGGAAAGGTCTTTATATTGGACAAGTAGAAATCCAGAGGTATAATTTCAAAGTAACTTCAGGAAGAAAATGAGTTGATTTTGAAGTACCAGATTTTTAAATGTTAGATTTGTAGCTTTTTTATATTAAGGTAAATTTTATAAATATTTACACTTTAAACTTTAGAATAGCATAATATTGTGAACTATCTTTAATATCTAATCTCTCTTAAGGTGGAAGATATTAGAAATTAAATATAGAGGTTGTTGGGGCGCCTGGGTGGCTCAGTCGGTTAAGCATCCGACTTCAGCTCAGATCACGATCTCACGGTCCGTGAGTTCGAGCCCCGCGTCGGGCTCTGGGCTGATGGCTCAGAGCCTGGAGCCTGCTTCCTATTCTGTGTCTCCCTCTCTCTCTGCCCCTCCCCCGTTCATGCTCTGTCTCTCTCTGTCTCAAAAATAAATAAACGTTAAAAAAAAAAAAAAAGTAGAGGTTGTGAAGAAAATGAAGAAAATTCAGGAATAAGAAACAAGAAAATTTAAGAAGGAAGTCCTTGCTTGCTGACTCCCTATATACCATATCAAACTACAGAAGTCACTAGCTTAAACTTGGATTATCTAAAATGATCTCATAATATTTAAATCATATTTAAGATGAGATAATGCAGAAGTGTAAAATAATATTTTGCATTTCTGCATCCTTTTTCCGTCTCTATAGCATCCTCAAAGGCCAAGTATCTGCTGTTTGTTCAATAAAAAAGATCAAGTCAAGCCTTTATAATTTATGCCCTTGTAAACATTCGGGGTCAGTTGTTGGAAAGTTTGTTATGCTGAAAAGTACTTGCCTTTTCTCCCCACACCTATATTTCAAGAACATACAATAAGACCTAAATATGTCCAAGTTTGTGATGATTCCAATAACTCCAGCCTAGACTGAAAGTCCTTCTCTGCTTTAATAAATCATGTTTAATATGGAAAGCACACTAACATTGAAACATGATTAGAAAGCAACAAGTCTAAACTAATTAAGAGAATAGAGATATCTAATATCAACCAATTTTATCTGGTCATTGAAGTAGGGATTTTATGTGCATATTGAAGATGAATGAACTTCTATTTACCTACATTTAGTGGTTAACATAATTGATAGTAAGACAAAACTATAAATCAATACTCTTGAAAAAATATCCTACAGGGTAAACATATGAATTCTTCAGATGGTCTAAATCAATGATGTGGTATCATTTGCCCTTTCCTCCCCTCCCCCACCCTCCCTCCTTAGCTCCAACACAGACTTGTTCCTACCTTTCTCCTTATATGTCTTTCTCCCTCAGCAAATAATAATAGCCAATATTTATTGAGGATTTACTGTGCACCAGGAACTTTCTAAGCCTCTCACCTGTGTTGTTATTTCATTGTCATAACAGCCCTGTGGGTTTGGCACTCTTCCTAGCTCCTTTTTACAAATGAGGAAACTGAGGCCCGAGAGGTTAAGAAACGAGCCCAAGGTGACATATCTGGTGCTCCTAAACTGAGGATAGGGGCCATCTCATCTTTTTTTGCCTTCACTTCTCTGGGTCACAGAGTGGGGTCCCGATTGGGTCTGGGAGGGAGAAGACGTGGGTTTTACCGCCTTTATGGAGCTGAGCTTGGCCTCGCCTGTTCTAGGTTTCATGACCTACATCGTGGAGCCGCTTTTCCGGGAATGGGCCCGTTTCACTGGAAACAGCACCCTGTCGGAGAACATGCTAAGCCACCTCTCACACAACAAAGCCCAGTGGAAGAGTCTGTTGCCCACGCAGCACAGAAGCAGCAGTGGTGGCGGGGGCAGCCCCGACCATGCAGGCCAAGGGACCGAGAATGAGGAGCAGACTGTGACCAAAGGCAACACCCCGTAGTCCCAGCCAGCCTGCCCCTGCTCTGCACACGGAGAAGGAGAACCTCCTTGAGCAGAGGCCTCCTGACAGGGTGAAAGCTCTGAGGGGGTTCCTGCCAATAAGCCCAGCCACCTCATGGCTGCCGTCCTGGGGCTCTTTGGAATGCTACCCTCCTCTATTTTCCTGCCTCCTCTCCTCTTTTCGAGTGTACAGAAGCCATCCGTCATCTCAGCACTAGCTGCCGAAATAAAGCAACTCCATTTAGGAATGTGGGAGCTGATGAGGGGCAGGCCTGCCCCTCCAGGAGAAGACTGGGGAGTCAGAAAGAGGTGCTTCTGCCATGTTCCCCTCGGGCCCTGGGTCCCACTGTGACAGGTGACCGTCGCTAAGGCCAGAGCATTTTAGTGTTAGCCATCTGACTGCTGATCTGCATGACAAAAACACCAGCATCTTTGGAGCTCCAAGGAGATGGGTCTTGAGTGCGAGCGCACAAACCAGAGCGTGAGAGAAAGTACCTTCTATTTTAATAATAATTCTTATGATAAAAATAATAATAAATCTTTTTAACTTTTCTATTTGATGCACTAGACAATGGATCTAAAACTTTGGACTAAAAGATTACTCAGTGTACCCAAACTTGAACAGGGGGTTCATAGTTTTTTGTTACTGACTTTATGCCACTTTGGGTCAGAGATTCGGCATCTCCTCAATGTAAGAAACCACGTTTCCCATCCCTTCCGAGGGGAAGGTGCTTACAGTTCATTCCTTTGCACCATTAGCCAATCTGTCTTTTATCAATAACTCAGATTCAGTGACATGTTTATATGCACACATGTACATTTTCTGTAAATACCAAGCGCTACTGATTCCCATGCCAAAATACATGAGTATTATGGGATTGCTACCTGTATAAACAATGGCACTGTGAACAGAATACTGTTAGTTTTAATACAAGAGAATGCGTGTGTAAATAGGATATAGAGTTTATTAATATACGATTGTTTGCAGATAAAGGCCTTAACTTTAAATGTCTTTCATCTTCTGAAAGCTGCCCAACATAAATCCTCACAGATATCCCTCCGAACTGCCTTCCCATGTCCATCTTTCTGCTTTCCGGCTAAGGTCACAAACCAAAACTGAATAAAGTCTTTGAGGAAATATTTTGGAAACTTCACATGCATTCCGCTTGAGACCATAGTGTTTAATCTATGGCACCAGGCACCGTTTCCTCAGATTAATGAGACGTTTCAACAAGCCTGAAGTCACTTTTCAACACAGCGATGTTGCACACTCTGTTCTAACAAGCCAGCTGATTAGCTTGCGTTTGTGTGACTCTTGTCTTGGACCGTGGCGGTGTGTCAACCTTGCAGGAGACATGGCAGGTCTCGCAAACCTTCTATGACCCTGTCACCTAGTCATCAGGGAACTTCCTGCTCTCCCACCACACTCTTCTCTGTCATGGCTACAGTACCAAAGCACCTTTGGTTTATGGTTGGCGTGCATTTCTTTGGTGTTAATAGTAACTGGATTTTTCTTTTTCCTTAATTTCATGTGAGCAACTACCTAACTGTTTAGCTGAAGTTAACATTATCTGAGTAAAGAAAACGATTTCGGTTTTCTGACCGAATTTCTCCTTCCGGCAGGTCATTGTGGTTAATTGCAGTTCTAGCGAACGGAGTCACCTTGGCATTTTGTTGGCATTTTTTCTCCAGACACTTGGTCAGAAAACCAGTTTGCTACAGCATCCTCCTCTAGTGGCTAAACTCTGTGCATTCAGCCTTTTCCTTAGAAGTTCGAGCATAACTAACGTTAGATGAAAATTGGCATGTCCGTTTCTTCTTACCTTAAATCATGTTGAAGTGGGAGAACAGCATTATGATCACTTCTGCCACTATCAAGCTGTTTGGCAAACTACAAAATGACAGCTCTCTCGTTTCCTACGTGCAACTGTTGTGGGGGGTTTTTTTCCTCCTAACATACCCATGAAATGTTAGAAACTTGACTGGTTTGTAATACGTTTCTGTAGAGAGACTGAAGTGTGCAGAGTTAAGGTTTAAGGGAAATTTTGGAGAGTTGGTTATATTTTCATTAAAGTAGGAGAGATTGTCAGATGGTACTAAAGAAAGTGTGAAAACCTCATGAAATGGGTGGGTGATAAGTTGAAATTGTTGATATGGGTAAGAGAGAAGTTGGGAAATCTTAACACCAACTTTTTTTTTCTTTCCATAATAACTATGAACTGACACATGATTCTTTGTTGCTTTAATCCTCTGAAGCTCTCAGCTTGGTGAGGCCCCAAAAGAGAAAATGTTGAATGTATTCCTGCTTCCAAATCTCTCTTACTTTGGTTTGATGGTGCAGAGAGGGCTTCTGAGTGGTCTGTGTTTAACGTTCAGGAGATCAAGTGAAGGAAAGCAATTGTCGAGGATGATACAGTAAAGAAGGAAGACACTATTTAGCTACCGGGGCCTCTATCTTGGGTTTAGGAAATGGACTTTGTGTAAATTATATTTATATTGTAACTTAAATAAGATTGGAGGCATTTTCAGTAGTTCCAGGTTTATGGGACAAAAGTGTCTACGTCACTATTAGGTCTTGAAGAAGAGCTCACAGAGAAAACTACCAAATACCCAACAGTTACGTCTATGAAGCAGCTACTCGTACAATAAAAATTTGAAGTAAAACGAGACATTATGCATAAACTAGATGCATTTTTGTCCTTCTCTCAACCATCTGGAGTTTTCTTGAGTTCCTCATGTGTTGGCAAAAAAAAAAAAAAAAAAAAAAAAAAAAAAAAAAAAGAATGTGAAAACTTTTTTCTTGCCTACTAGTGGCTCTCTTTCAATAGGAGGAGTTCAATTACTAGTTAAGACACAGCTGTTGGCTCGTCCATGGATTTTAAATTTATATTCTTCTTCTGGTCCACGGACCATCAATAGTTGACTTACCGAGTTTAATTCTGTCATTACAGGAGAAGAAAGGAATCAAAGGGCTATTTTTAGTAAGTAAAGTAAAGATCAAATTAAGAAAGAGAGAATATATATCACTGCCAGGCCTGATCGTCAAAGCCTGCTTCTCCTTTAACAGCATTCGTGAATAGGCGGAATCCTGTTCATGAAGCCCTGACCTACCCATAACTCCCTCTAGGCTGAGTAAAAATCCTGCTCTGTTTCTACTTGCTTAAGGCTTCCCACAAAGGCATTTGGACTGTGTCCTGCAACACTGTCTTCAGATAGTGCTTCCTACAAAACACAGATTTGTTTTGTAATCTTCTCATGTTAAATCAGATCTGCTCACTGATGTGAATTTGATTATGAGCTTGTGTCTCACTGTATTTCTAATGCTTTGTTCTTTTAAGCAAACCCGAAAACTTGTGTTGTTTTGTGTACACATGTGAGATTTGGGGGGGGAAAAAAAAAAAAAAAAACCTTGTGAGTTTTGCCCAAAATGTGACCTAAGTATCCATTGGCATGTCTCAATGAATAATTAAAAATAAAGATAATTTCTTAAAAACATCAAGGTATGAAAATATGCTGATTCTCACCAGGGAGCATATTACTAGCCAACCAATCAGATTCAACAGAAAAGGTCCACTGCTCAAGATGGGAAATTTTCGAGGGGAAAAAGACACACAGGTACAGATACGGTCTCCATGTGACTCACTCTGTTTGGAGCTGCAGAAGTAGCCATGTCCATGAAAGTATCACTTGGCAGTTAATCCCAAGTTTGGGAAAGAGGGCTCTCTATCACCGGTCAGTTCTACACTTCCCCTGACTCCTGATATTTTTTCTGTTTCACATTTGTCAAACTCATATATGAGTGAGAATGAGGTAAAGACATAGCAGACTTAATTCAATAATTACTTGTGAAAAATATGGTCTCGCATTTCAGGACCGGGAGCCATCAAGAACAATAGAACAGTTCATGCAGGATGACTGAGTACCCTAAACCCATCTGGAAATAGAGGAGAAAGGAAAAAAAAAAAACAAACAACAAAAACCACCCTTATTTCCCAGAAACAACCTTGTATCTACATACTGTTCTCAAGTCCCTCTGATTTAAGATTGGATTCAGAATCTCATTAATTCCTTAATGCTTCCCTATGTCCGAATATAAAGCCACTTTTTCACTTGTGGATAGTCTATGTCATAAAATCAAAAATCAAAATTGAGACCTCAGTGGTTTTCCAAGTAAATGTCAGGCGTGATTTTCAAATGTACCCCGGGAACCTCGCTGAAACATTGTGAAATAAGTCAAGCCCTTGTGAGCGATTGAATTTTGATTTGGCAGATATGGATCGAGTACCTACTGTGTGCCAAAAGTTGCACTAGATACTTGGGATAAAAAAAGGCTCCATTTCTGCAAGAGCATTTAGACTGTGACAAAGACTGGATTGCCAGTGAATGCTTCTTAGAGAATCTGCGAGAACATCTGTGGGGATTCAACCACAGCCAAAGAGCTCTCCTGACGCGCAGCATAACAGAACACAGATAATCTTTGGACACTGTAGGGGCCAAGGGCAGGCTGCCCCAAAATGTTCCACTTCAACATATTGATCATTTTATTTTATTTTTTTTTAGTTCAACTTTATTTATTTATTTATTTATTTATTTATTTATTTATTTATTTTAATTTACGTCCAGATTAGTTAGCATATAGTGAAACAATGATTTCAGTAGATTCCTTAATGCCCCTTACCCATTTAGCCCATCCCCCCTCCCACACCCCCTCCAGCAACCCTCTGTTTGTTCTCCATATTTGAGAGTCTCTTATGTTTTGTCCTCCTCCCTGTTCTTATATTATTTTTGCTTCCCTTCTCTGTGTTCATCTGTTCTGTGTCTTAAAGTCCTCATATGAGTGAAGTCATATGATATTTGTCCTTCCCTAATTTAGCTTAGCATAATGCCCTCCAGTTCCATCCACGTAGTTGCAAATGGCAAGATTTCATTCTTTTTGATCGCCGAGTAATACTCCTTTGTATATAAGTGTATTGATCATTTTAAATAAAAGTCACTCAAGTG